GAAAGAAGTGAAGAAATATACATTAACGCAAAACATTCTGCACTGAGGTGATTCGAGAGCTCTAGGGAGCAAGGTACAGTTCAGTGGGGTGAAGACAAGGTGATCGTTGTGGGACTGGAGAGTGGAACATCGTCAAATTTAGCCATGAAATGCTGTCGCCCACAACCAATCCTGGCGCATCAGGTGCTGACAAATGCGGGACTTGAAGGCCTGCATTCCCTTCGATGCCGGAGGTTCCGGGATGACTTGCTCAGGAATGTCGTTCCATGCCGCAATGAGGGTGTAGGGGAATGACCTCAGTAGGTAGTTCGGTGCTGTCCGAGCAAGTGGCCATTGCAACTGGAAAGGGTGGCGAGAAGCTAGTTGTCGGCGGGTTCTAGGAGTAGGCGCATGCGCCGACGGTGGCGGGAGGAGGGCTGTCAGCTGGGGTGGACCCTTAATGTAGTGCAACTTGTACACATATGCAAGCCCTGAGACTGCCCTCCTGAGCTGCAGACTCTGAAGGATCGTGCCAGGTCCAATGATTCGCATTGCCTTCTCCTGCACCCTGTCATAGCGTGCTAGGTGGGATTGGGCTGCACACATGGTGGCTAGGGGAGCGTACTCCAGGATGGGCCGAATGAACCCCTTATACACGGCAAGGCGGCCCTCATGACCCAGAAGCCAAGCAGCACGGCGTAAGAATCCCAGGCGCTGGCTGGCCTTGACAGCGACAGCATGGATGTGGCGCTGGAACCCAAACTTAGAGTCGAATGTGACTCCAAGCAGCTTTAGGTGATCCGAGTCCGGAATAATCTCGCCGGCAAAGGTGGTTGGTGCATTGCACAAAATCAGGCGCTGGCTCTTGGTGGGCTCGAACTGGATCCGCCATTGCTGGCCCCATGCGCCAAGATTGCTGAGGGTTGTCTGTAAGGATGCTGCCTTCTCCTGGAGGTTGTCGTTTGGTCTGATCAGACTGTACACGGTAGTGTCATCGGCGAAAGAGCTGAGCTTTACTCCATGCGAGAGGCATTGGTCGATATCGGCAGCAAACAATATGAAGAGTGTGGGGCCCAGGACGCTGCCTTGGGGCACTCCGGCAGTGATGGGGTACTTCTTGGAAGCGTGGCCTCCAGTTACCACCTTTAGGCAGCGGTTACTCAGGTAGTCGCGTAGCCAAGAGAGAAGAGGTCCGCCGATGCCTACTCGCTCTGCTTTGTTGAGGAGGCCGACGTGAGAGACGCGGTCAAACGCACCGGCAATATCAATTGCTACTACTGGGACACAGCTCCCCTCAGCTACAACCTGCACCCATTCGCTCTGGAGTGCTGTGAGGAGGTCAGCTGTACCACGGCCACGTCTAAAACCAAACTGGCTGTCAGGCAGCAGGTCGTTGCGCTCCAGGAAATTGGTGACTTGTTGGTTTATAATACACTCCATGACCTTGGACAAAACGGAGAGCAAGGACACAGGCCGGTAGTTGGATGGCCTAGATCGAGGTGGCTTCTTGTATACCGGGACAACGTGAGCGAGCTTCCATTGGGACGGTACAACACCTGCACGAAAGCTAACACGGAACAGTTTCGTGATGGGAGCAGCAAGTTCCTTAGAGCACTCTTTCAATACCCGAGATGGAATGCTGTCAGGTCCAGATGCCTTGGATGGGACTAGCCTTGCAAGATGCCGCCGGACTGAAGCTTCTCGGAAATGGACGTGCTCTAATGGCTCGTGGGTCGGGATGGTCACCGCAGGAAGGTCAGTGTCAGTTCTCGGTCACCCAAGCTGCACTTCGAGGAGAAATGCTGTGCCAGGCACTCAGCCTTCTCTGCTGAGGTGTGGAACTCCTTGCCATGGCTATCGACTAGCAAAGGAACATCAGCGGAGTTGCGTGTAGCGCCAGTGGCTTTCTTCATGTTTGTCCACCACTGTTTATCACTAAGTGACTGGCAGCTGAGTGTGTGGCGCAGTCGATTGACGCTAGACATATGGGCGCTCTGCTGTGTGTGAACAGCTCGGTTGACAGAAGCAATGAAGGAGGTCTTGAGGTCATCCCGGTGCGGGTTCTGCCTCCGCTTCTCCTTTGCCTCTTCAGCAATGGTGCACTCTGGAGTCTACCAGTGAGGGTCAGAATAACGAGTGGTGACGACTTTGGTGGGGATGTACTGGTCCATGCCTTGCAGGATGGCCGTGGTTAATCGCTCGCAAGACAGAGTGGGATCGTCTGACATCGACTGCCAGCCGTGACCGCGGTAAAACGCCCTGAGTCTGTTCCAGTCAGCACTATCGTATTTCCACACCTTGCGGGAGGTTGTTGGATCTCGGCGGGCGGAAACTTCTTGGAAGTTGCATATCAAAACGGCATGGTCGGACCTGCCGAGGGGGGCAAGCACGTTGGTTGATACTGGGGTAGTGAAGTCGGAAAGAACTAAGTCTAATGTATTTTCACCGCGTGTTGGATGGTGTACATGCTGGTCGAGGTGGTGGGTTGCACTTAACACTTCCAAAGCTTCCCCAGCCACAGTTGTCTTTGTGCTGCGAAGCCACTCCTCGTTGTGGACATTGAAATCCCCAGCCAAGATTATCTTGGTGCCAAGGCGGCGAACACCCTCAAGGGCACCATCTAGATGGTCAATCAGGGACACATCTGACTCGGCACATGACCCTGGGCGGTAGACGGCACCGATAATGACTCAGCTCTCGCATTGTGTGGAGACAGACGCCCACAGAACCTCGTGCGCTGAACGTTCCAGGTGGGAGAGGTGCGTGAAGGAGAGCTCGGACTTACCCCAGATGGCGACACCACCCCCGTTCTCGTTACGGTCCTTTCGAGCAACAGTGTATCCAGGCAGTGAGATATCCGAGTCCAGAGTGCCATTTCCTAACTTAGTCTCCGTGACAATAGCGATGTAGACATCGTTCTGGGAAACTGTATGCTGCAGGTTACTCAACTTGTTTGTGATACTGAACGCATTTGTCACAAGGATCCGGAGGGATGGAACCGGGCCTGCTGATGCACTTGGTAATGCAGGTAGAGGGGTGGGAGTGTTCAGCAATGACATAGTGACAGTAGAAATTAGAATGAAAAACTAACAAAAACGTCGTGAGTGCATAGAGAAACAATGATTGCATGGTCTACTTACGCCAGCCGGGCTTCCGGCTAGGGGGCTTTCTGCTTGAGAAACTTCTCAATGAATAGCCTCTCTCAAGACCTTTCCAATGGGCCGTCCTTTGCGTACATCGGACAATCGGTCGCAAAGTTACATGTATGGTACTTTTAGTGGCATGGCCGCAGGTACATGCCTACATGTACAGTGGATATCGGTTATAAAGTCATCGGTAATAGTGATAAACCGGCTATATTGATACAAAATGAAAATATCAAAAGCAAAACCAGAAAAAGCCAGTCAAATTATCATTATAACCAATATATCGGATATAGCGATAAATCGGCTATAAGGATACAGAATCACAATTCAAAACACCTCTTTGTACAGAAAAAATGTCATCTATAATGATAGCAGCACACGAGTGTGAGGCATTTGTGTCTCGACTTGGAGCCACATGTGTGTTGTCATAGGGTATTCTGGTCTGATGCTTCCTGAATGATGCCTTTAGGCCAAGAAGTTCTACACTCTAGACTGGGGAAGGTGCAGCAGCATGCATCATGTATCAGTACGCTACATTAGCGCGATCGAGTACCCACACGTGTATAATATGTATGTATGATGCGCGCAGTTGAAAATCGCCTGTAGTGATATACCGGTTATAGTGATAAAATGTGAAAAATCAGAAGGGCACGTTATAACCAATATCTACTGTATGTCGAAAAATTTGAGGGGGTGCTTCAGCACCCAAAGCACCCCCCCCCCCCCCCCCCTGGGTACGCCACAGTGTACATGTACATGTATGTCCCACGCCAACAAAGAATGCACGGCATGCCCCAGTTGTGCACAATCACACTGCTTTCCCTGCTTTCCCCAGTGCCCAGATAGGCTTTCCCCAAATCGGCCGGCCGAAAAATTCGCCGAGAACGATACTTATCGAAAAATCACTAAGCTTTTCGCCGATTTTGGAGGGTTCCTTTGAGAATCGCCGAAAACCCGCCAAATGTTGGTGCAAAGTGCGGCCCGTTACCATGGTTACGAGCGAATGATTGTTGCTGTAAGCATGACCGCTCGAGCTCTCTCGTACTTCAGTAGTAAGCCTCTTGTACCTGGTACGGGCAAAATGAATTACACATTCTAATTCAATAAACTATTTTGAAATACAAAAATCTTCGGTACGTGTAAGTTGTAGTAATACCACTAGTGCGTTGAGATCGTGGGGCTCGTGTCCTTTGACCTTTACCTCTCAAACAAACATTACTTATAGTACTAAAATACTAGCCATTGCGTAGGAAGATCGTTACTACTAGTAAAATCGGCCGGCCGAGAAATTCGCCGAAAACGAGACTCCTCGAAATCGATAAACTTTCGCCTCTCTAAGCTTTTCGCCGATTTTGGAGGGTTCCTTTGAGAATCGCCGAACATCTACCAAATCTTCCAATCTTTCACCAAATTTGAAGCCAATATGCCAACAATTCATTTAGCCGATTTTCCAATACAGTCGTCCCTCTCTAAACCAGCACGTTATAAACCAGCACCCTCGATAAACCAGCACAACTGTCAGTAGCCAAATTGTCCTCTTCGTCCACATTGTAACAGTAAATCCGATTTGTTAATCCAGCACCCTCCCTAATCCAGCAGATTTTCCGTGGTACAAATGATGCCGGATTATGGAGGGACCACTGTATATTC